GCTCTTCCGATAATTGCACAAATCACCATATCACAATACACGAAGAACTTTCTTGCAAGAAGGAGAATATATGGATTATATACACATATCTTATCAAATAATTCTAAATTATGAATATTATTATATTTTTATATTAAAAAATATTACAAATATATATACATACGCTATCTAAGGAAATTTACTAATATGCACGCTAATAATGTTAAATGCATATTTTATTTTTATTGAGAAACCAGATATTAATTTTTCTAATTATCCTTTTAATATAATATAATAATATAATGTGTTTATCTAATAAATTGTTAAATTATTATATTAGGAAAACGTCAAAAGAAAAATTAAATAAAATATGTGAATAAAATATACGAATGGAATATGAAAAAATTGTACTTTACAATGATAATGCTTGTTTTAACATACAGAATTAAAGTAAAATAAAATGTATATTTCTTTTTTACTTTACAATTGTAGTTACATTAATTTCTTGCCATTACACTCTGTGATAATTTTCAGACAATAGTGCACTTGTAAGCTTACAAGTGCACTATTGTCTTGTTACGTCCAGATCCCAGGATATTTGTTTGGGCTTGTAGATAGAGAGAATGAGTCTCGTGCATGAACGAGATGGAATTGGAAGTGGAGGGGGTAAGGAAGGACGTAACTAACAAAAATAAGCTATCTCGCAGGTACGCACAGAGGCGCACGATGCGAGTCGAAGGCGCTTTGCAAAGGTTCGAAAACGAGTCAATGTCCTTAGAAAGACACTATTACTTCGTTTATTGAACCAGCGCGTTTGTCGGTCCTGTTTTAGGTCAAGGAAATTAATCCCTATGACCTAGAATCGGACCAAGCGCGTCTTTCGTTTAGGCAAATAATGAATGGGGATGAAGGTCTTTAAAGAAGTACAGAATTTAAATTAACAAAATCATAGTTTATTCTTAAAGCTAAAGATACAGAATACTAGTTTCTTAATTGCAAGGCTAAACTAGTGCTATCGAACGGGAGTGTATTCGTAAATGTATATAAAGGCATAGTTGATTGTCAAGGTTGATGGAAGTTTGTACAATACAAGAAAGAAATGTTGTCACAGTTACGGCAGTTATTTTTATTATTGTTAATGAGGGAAGTGAATCGGTACAAATAATATTTTGAAACTTAAAATAATTGATATAGTGTTGAATATTGAAATTGAATTAAATTAAATTTGACATAATGTGATGTAGTTACAATGTAAATCGATTAGTACACAGATATGTAACAATAAAATTATAACGGGGGAGTGTAAATGAAGGTTAATCGTGGATCTCATAAAGGGTTGCAGTTGAAGGGGGGAAGAAATTATAGAAGAATTCAATAGGGACCTGGTATGGGTATTGGGAGTGCGGCAGGTAAACGGGAAAGTATGAATTCCGGGGGACAGTTTTCACGTGCGAACGGATTTTGTCACGGTCAAAGAAATCCGGGCCTATTGTGAAGATTCCCCGGGGAAGAGGAGTCGTGAGTTGGTCAAATTGTGAAAACAATGACTCTAAGGTTCGATGGTTGCCGTAATTAAAATAAAACCGGGGACGTGGTGCCGGTATTTCGTCGACAATTTCACAAAGGGA